TTAGGGGAAAAAAGAAAAGAAACGAAATGAAAATTGATAGGTAGAAAAAAAAAATAAAAAAAAAAAAATAAAATAAAATAAAATAAAAAATAAGAAACTCTGTGTTGTAAGCACAAAAAAGGAATCACCCATAACCGAGCAGCAGCTGCCACCAAGTTAATTTTACCCAGAGGCCAAAATTTACTTGTTTAACCTAGTCTTCCCACATAAACAAAATTAAAAAAAATATATATATATAAATAATAAAATATCATACGTATAACATAAAGCTCATAAAATAATAGTCTATCACTACTTTATCCTATGACCAAAGTTGGCACCAAAGAAAACAGCCAATTAAAAAAAAAAAAAAAAAGTAAGCCAAAATACCCATCCGAAATAATTTTTTTCGCCCTGAGACCAAGAATGAGAGAAAAAATAATAATAATAATTGCTATTTCAAGTAGTATCATCATATTATATAATGTGGCCACAAAAAGTATATTTACCCAAAAAAACCAAATGAAAAAAAATTTGAATACATCCATTGTCAGAAACATGCAGGTACAGGCAAATAAAAAAAAAATGCAAGGCGCTATATTTATAACAATAAGTAAGTGAAATCAAGAGGAGAATTTAATGCCAATATTTTAAAGTTAATTCAAAAGGTATCAGACAACAAAATCAAGCAGCAATTTTAATACGTACAGGTTAGTTTGTGATTGTGAAATTATCCAGCTCCTTCCTGTCATTGATACGATGCACAACGTCTCCGATTTTAATGTAAATAATACCATTGAAACACCAAGCATTTTTTGTTGTGAATTTATTAGTAGCCATTGACAAAAGGGTCAAGCGATTTTTTGTTAGGTCTTCACGCACTTGTACACCAGTAGACTTAAGGTTTTTTCTGTTTTTTAACACTGCGAGGCGATCGATGTCGTTTGAGAACCGCACCAGCACTGCTGGCGGCTTATCGGATGCAATTTTGGACTTAATTCTGTGGCACCTTATGATGTGAGCGGTATTTATGTTTACCTTCATTTGTTTAAAAACATCCTGAACCCTAAAAGCCGCAGATCTTCGTTAGGTTCGGCCGGAATTCCAAAAATCCGAACATTGCAGTTTCTTGATGGTTGCTCCTGACTGTCTAGTGCATTCGCCATTTCTTGGTTGACCCTTTCTAATTTGATTACCTCCTGCTGAAGATCGGATACACATTTTTCCTGCTCGTTGAATTTCTTCGCATATTTTTTGTCCATAATTTGTGCCACTTTATCTGCGACGTTTTGCAGAAAACGATCCGTGAAGATCCCCTTAATTTTCTCAATGTCATTCTCGGAGAGCACCATGTTTATTTACAATTTAAACACGAATATTCACAGGTTTTTCGGTTGAAAATAGGAGGAACCAGTTTTCAAATAATCAGAAGTACACTACAGACACACCCCGATGCAAAACTACGTTTAATTTTATTGATAAACTTGAGGAAACTAAGAAAACACTCGCAGCTTCCAAACAGGTGTTCACTCACTCGGCGCCATCACAGACATCAATCCGATAAGGTGTTGGAGAACAGGGCTTGGGAACAAGTTAAAGCTAAAGATTCTAGTTTCGGTGAGGAAAGTGCAGCTTGGCTTGTGACAAACGTGATGAAAGCTTAACGTAAACTCGGTATGGGCATACGACGACGACGACAAACTAAACCATTCAAATCATGCATCTTGAACAAAATTAAAAAACATGTAAAATATTATGGAAATGGCATACTAACAAGGGAAAACCTAAAATTGGCTCTGAAAGCTATCCGCATGACAATCAAGTAAGTTGGTGGCCGAGAGATAGTAAAATTACCTCGAGGTATCCCAGTGCCTAAAGTTGGGGGAGTTTTACCTTCAATTCACATATTTGCTGGTCTTAGTGCTGTGGTGCATTGAGCGGAGGGGCAGCGGGGATGGAAGCCATTGCCTTGGGTAGAAAGGGGAGTGGTTTATATCTTTCTAAACACAAGACCGCACATGGATTTTTTTTGAAAAAGATGCCAAAAAACTATCAGTAAAGCTACAAAAACTAGCGCTAAGCAATAAAGACATTACATTCCTGACATCAAAATTGGAAATAGCCAATTATCGAATGTGGTGTAATTAATTTGGACCCAATCAGCGGATCTGGAACACATTGGGTAGCTTAAAAGAAACGTGGAAACCTGGTTAAATATTTCGACAGTTTTGGCAACTTGAATCCGCCGAGAGAAGTTTTTCGCTATTTTAGGAACTGCGAAATTTTCTACCATCACGATCACTATCAAACGTTTGATACATACAATTGTGGACATTTGACATTAAGTTTTTTTTTGAATGATTATTTTGTGACCCAATGTTTTCAATGTAGGAAAATTGTTGGATGGGGTCAAAATAAAAACAGAAACCTGTTTACTTATATGTCGATGTTTCGACTTATATGAAGTCATCCTCAGGACACTAAAAAGGGGAATACAGGTGTTATTACGTATTTCTTAAAACATATAACATCTTGGCTTTGTTTTTTTAAATTCAAAGGACTATAAAAACAATAATCAAAGAAACAATATAGACCAATAACAAGTTTAGTAAAAAAAATTATAATAAAAAGTTGTTGATACCAGTCAGGAAACTGATTTTGAAAGAAAAAAAAAACACATTACACCAACTTACCTAAGTCTAGGTTTCTTCGGTTAAAGTCTTAATATACAGTGTGATTTTTCAAGTGTGCAACATATGGGATTTTTTTTTAGTAATAGCATGATCCAAATACAAACAAGGCCAAAAGTTGGTGCATGTCTGATGATCATATTGGGTGCACTTAGAATGGTTGCAAGTCAAACAGCATACAGGGTAGCTCAAACAATATCAAAATTGTACTGTGAACTACCCTTATTTTAGAAAATTCAGCAAAATGTTATAGATAAAAGTTGTTTGGAATTAAAAGTTATGCCTAAATACCAAAACATAGCCTCCTAAAAAAAATATTATTTTTTTTTGGAAAAAAATCTATAATTTCTATATTTTTTAAATTTTCTATTTCCACCCTTAATACTTTCAAAAATTAATTAAAATCAAATCAATTTTACATAACTTTGTTCAAATTCAAGCATATTTGTGAAATTAACTTAGATTTTTAATTTTTTATGAAATCACAAAGTTCATGTTTGCAATGATATTCAACACAACTTCAAAATGTCGCAATTTTTTTTTTAACAAGTTGAAACATTACTGATGATAATATGCATATTGAAAAAACTCCCCTTTAAGTGGAAAAGTTTGATTTTATTCAAGTAAACATTACTACAATTCTGTAATTTTTTAGCTACCCTGTATGCTGTTTGACTTGCAACCATTCTAAGTGCACCTAATATGATTATCAGACATGCACCAACTTTTGGCCTTGTTTATATTTGGGTTGTGCTATTACTAAAAAAAAATCCCATATGTTGCACACTTAAAAAATCACATTGTATATATACATTTCAAAGGAACATAAGCGAATACTTTGGTGTATGAGTACACGGACAATCACCAATCAACAACTAAATCAGAACGATCGATCCTCTTTTGTGTGTTTGTTTATTTGTATGTTTTTTTTTACATTTAACCGATAGCGATATACAGGGCTTGAATAGGTATCACCTTTATGAAATTTTTTCAGCAACTGAAGGTTCTAATATCAGGTCTAATTTACTCATTTGGAGCAAAAATGGTCATCTATAGAGAAAAAACTGAATATTTTGACAAAATTTATTTTCTCATTTTTTGAAAAAAGGCTATCCCAATATTTTGTTTATAATAATTATTATTAACTGAAAAAATTTTCACGCACAAGTTGTAAACAATATTTGTTCTACAACCTCGTTTGAACATCGTTGATTCGAAGTTAAACTTTAATTTAACTATAGCAGTAGAACTCTTGATTCTGCCAAGTGTAATTACTCAACACTCGAGAAGGAAGTATTAGCAATAATATGGGCTACAAAATATTTCCGTTCCTATTTATTTGGCCGAAAATTTACGATTGTGACTGACCATAAACTATTACAATGGCTCTTTTCTAGCAAAGACCCTGGCTCGAAATTAGTAAGATGAAAATTGAAACTTCAAGAATTCAAATATACTATTCAGTATAAGAAAGCAACGCAAAATGTTATTGCAGACGCATTACCACGCCCTCCTAAAGAAATTTTTCCAACAGAAATAGAAAAATCACCACCAACACACATGTCCGCACAATGTGATAAAGATGAGAACTCAGAAGACCAATATTTATGGCATGAGAAAATCAAAAATTTCTTTGAATCACAAGAAAATCTATTTGAAAGACCAAGAAAAGTGTGTGAAAACAAAAAGCCAAAAGAAAAAAAGGAAAGTCCCAAGATAAAAATCATAACTAATGTACCCATTAAACTCAAACCAATTAAACAACGAATTGACCAAAAACAACCACCAATTTAAAAAAAGAAGGTG